CTCCCTAACCAAATCATGTCTCCCAGGATCTATCCCATAGATTGAAACTGGAAGTCTAGGTCATGAGTGGTTAATGGTATATCACTGAGGGACAGTGAGTGGGTACAAATTTCCTACTTTGCTGCTGGGTGACCCTGAGTGCATCATTGATTATAAATTTTATTTCCCCTGAGCTGGAAAATGGAGATATTAACCCTGTCATATAGCTTTAAGGTTAAAATTATGACATTATATACAGGGAACAGCATGGAAAAATAAAAAACTTTAATAAGTTATATATTCCTTCACAGTAAACATAGATAAAGAGATGATAAAATTTTATGGGGAAATGTCTTCTAAGTTTAATGTGGGGAAATGATCTTTCCACAGCTCCACTAGGACTTATGGCTGTGCTCTGGCAGCTCTGCATCACAGACCTCTTTCTAGACTTTCCCCAGAATGGAACCTTCATTTCCTTCAGTATCCTTCTCAAAATTCCCCCTTTCACAAAACACTCCTTGAACAGCTACACACTCTGCTTGCTAGTTCCTCCCTGTAGTATCCAGTGGGTTTCTGAAGATTTGCATGTGTTGCTACAATGGCTTTTAAATCCTAGCATCCATTTGCTCTTTTCTAGAGTCCTCATCTCAGAGGCTATTCCCATGTCATCCCTAGCCTTACTTCTACCACCTACTGCCTAAGCTTTCAGACTGACGGAATTCTTGACTGAGATCAGAGCAGGAGAAACTCTCTGGCTCCTCACCCTGCATAGAGGCTGCTGTCATCATAAATGCAGCCTTCTGTTTAGAAAAAAAGGAAAGGCAAGTTGGAGAGTACTTAATTCACTCCAAAAATGGAAGCCCAAAGTCATATGCAGGTACCTGGGTGCGCAATTGGTCCACCCATACAGAAGGAAAAACTCCTCCTAAAAATGAGATACCACATGTCTATGAGCTCCAGCTAGCACACAGGACACTTCCACCAGAGACTTCTGAGGCCCAAGTAAAGGTGCAACAATTATGAACTCTCAATATGGCCTTTATGACTGTCCTCTCAAAAAGAGGCCAATGACAACACAGGGCCACAAACACTGGCACAGTTTTAACACACACACACACACACACACACACACACACACACACACACCAGGAGAAAGTAATGGGTCTCAACTTCTGTAGAGTAGGATCCTTGAAGAGGAGTGGTAGTCTACTGAAAATAACAACTGGAACCTCAGAGAGAGTTTCCTGAGCCTTCCTGCTAAATATCTCATGGCAGACAACATAGGGACTGCCCAATGCAATGCTATCACACTGCAGGTACTACAGAGAAGATACAGGAGTAAAATAAGGCTGAAGGAGATCAGAAAGACAGACAGAAGAGGACATGAGTTTCCAAAAAGTAGGATTTGGCCAGTGTAAAGACAGAGGAGAGGTATGCATGCATGTGCATGGGAGATGAGAAAGATAAAGTTCACATCAAATCTAGACAGGTATCCACTGTCAATAGCTCAGCTAGTTTCTAGCCAAGTGAATACATTAAGAAGAAAGATTGGAGTTAGTCGCCAGGCATTGGTGGCGCATGCCTTTAATCCCAGCACTCGGGAGGCAGAGGCAGGCAGATCTCTGTGAGTTTGAGGCCAGCCTGGTCTCCAGAGTGAGTGCCAGGATAGGCTCCAAAGCTACACAGAGAAACCCTGTCTCAAAAAACCAAACAAACAAACAAACAAACAAAAAGATTGGAGTTAGTCAAAGTTGAGGACCATGTCTGACGGACATTCTACAGGCAAGTAATTCTGAGATGGAATGTAGAGGAATGCCTTTAACTTACAAGCTAGGAGTTTATTTTTATGTATAGTACAGAATAATGTGATGAGTACATCAAATTCATTTTTAGACATTTGACATACCAGAATTAAGTCTATGAAAGTTGGTTGCTTTAAGACAAATTTAAAATGTGTTAAACAAGAAACACACTCAAATAATATAGTTGTGGCCCAAACAGTAAAAGGAGGTTGTATAAATGATTACAATTTGGGAGGCCCTGAACTAGAAGAGGTTTCATTTGAAGGATGCAATTCTGTGGAAATACACAATTTGCTTCCATGGATTACCTATACACTCCATACATGTTCTTTCACTCCAAAGGGGGCTTTGGGAAAGATTTCTGCATTTGTCCATAAATTGAATGAAAGGAAGGGTGAAGTGTAACAAAACATTACAGTGCACTGTCACCTACTGGTGATGGCAATGACTGGGTATGATTAAGCCAGAACTTCCCATTTCTTGGCCTAGTCCTCCTTGCACCATTCACCCCCATAGCGCCACCACCATGGACACCATTCCTATTTCTCAGAAGAAAATAAGTGCTCAAAATGCACTTATTTTGATTATAAAATGCACATACTTTTATACTCATATACACTGTCCAAACAAATGCACACATAGACATAGGTGCACACACACACACACACACACACACACACACACACACACACACACATATATACATACATACATACATACATACATATATATATATATATATATATATATGCACACAATACAAATTTTTCTATTGAAATGTCTCTGACAGAAGCTAGACCCTCTGCCAAAATCCAAGAAGGTGGAGACTGCAGTCCTGTCTCCTGTCACTGGGAGGAAGCTGTATTGCTTTGTCATCTGCACCCAGGACATGGAAGCCTGTTCTGCTGCTTAGACAGGTCTATTTTCACAGGTCCTTAACTTTCGGCCTCTATCTCCTGTGATAAGTGCTAATCTCAGGCCAAGATCTAAGTGATTTTCTCTTCATCTCCCTCTTCTCCCCTCAATGCTGTAAAGTGTGCTTCAGGACCAGGTCCAAGGCTGCTACTGCTCTAAGCTGACCACACGCCCAGCACTACCCAAAGCCTGGGGAAATGACTGAGACAGCCTGCCCTCTCCCTGTCTGCACTGCACACTGCTTAGCAGGAAACCTTAGGTGACCCACCAGGCGCTCCTGGAAACCTGAGAAGCACATTATTACCCTGTAGCCTGATGCCTCATTCCCTCAGCAGATGGGGATGAGGTCAGCCCTGTTCCAAGTGTTCCCTGGTACATGCAGAGGAGCCCAAGTTCTGAGTGGACTATGGGGAGAATGCCCCCCCACCAGATGTTTAAGAAGAACACAGGCTACCATTAGAAGGTAAGCCAAAGTCAGGGCAGAGTCCAACAAGTCCGTGTCCTGGGAACTCTTCGAGGAACTGATATGAAGGAAGTGATCTGAGTAGAGAGGGACAGATTTAAATCTAAGAATGGTAACAGTAGCTTTACTTATGAAAACAAAGCATGTACTGCAATTCAGACAGTGCTAACTCCCAAGGTGTAGCCTTTCTGTGAGAATTCAAAGCAGCAAGGTTTGGAGGGCAGAAAAGGATGCATTCTATGAGTTATGGTAAAGAAGGCCTTTACTTTTCAATGTAAATGGGTATCAAACCTTTAGAAGAAAAACAACACAACACAATGCAAATAAGAATCCTTTCCTCTCTGAGGTAAAGCAGGTCACTCTCCTCTCTGTGCCTTTGCTGGCGTTCATACAGATCTGTCTTTGTCATCTTCATACTTGTAGTCGTCATCATCGTTACCCTAAATATCTACTGAGGATGTGCCAAGATGTCTGACATGTTTGAATTTTCACAATAGCCCTAAGCCATCAGAAGAGCTTAAGGCCTCGATTCCTACACTGCAACAAGTCTCTTCTTAGAGAAATTCAAGGGTGGCTCTACATTTTAGGGTCAGCCCCTGATCTCTCCAAAGATTCTGGGAAATCACTGTCCCTAATATCAAGAATAGGAGACAGAGGCCCTGAAATGTCAGATACCAAAAGTGATCCACAGTCATCCATGGAGACAGAATTCCCACTGAGGCAATCTGGAGCTTTTTGCCAGGACATCATATGGTCTCCCTTAATACACATTTCTCTATGAAACTAGCTGTTGCAAACACTGAACTAATTTTCTCACTCAAGTCTGAGTTCCTTACAGACAAGGTCCCATTTATATATCCCTAGACCATGAAGGCACCTTGTAAATGTCCACTGCATGTAAGAACCAGTCTTGGTGTCTGTGTGTAGCAGCCTTATGCCAGATGATGTAACACATCATTTTTTTAAACCCCAGGTCTGTCCTCTGGGGTGAGCACTATTTCTGTGTCTACAGATAAGCAAACTGAGAGTGAAAGAGGTAAACGTTTGCTCCTGTGATAAAGCTGGAATAAGAACCAAATACTGGCTGACCTCCAGGAGATAATGAGGCCTTCATTCCTATACCATATAAGCAGATTGACTGATTAGCTATTTTTTTTTTTGCTTATTTGTTATTTGTTTTCGTTTTGAGGCAGGTTTGTGCTATGTAGGTTTGGCTAGCCTGGAACTTGCTTTGTAGACCAGGGTAGCCTCAGACTTACAGGAATCCTCCTCTCTGGCCTCTGCTCTTTGCCTCCCAACTTCAGGGACACAAAAGTTGAAATATGACTGTTTATTTCAGGGCCTTGCACTTCATCTTTGCAAAGAACTCAGAAGTCCTGAGATGAAAAGGTATGGAACATTTGTGGTGCTATTTCTCTTCTACTTGGAATAGAGAGGAATCATTCTCCTATTCAGTAACTAATTCCAAATATTTCAAAGTGTCAACACAGAGAAGAGTCTAAGAGTAAGCAGAGGGCTCTGCTTCCCACAGGAACAGCCTAGGACACGTGACTCCCTCCAATAATAATTCCAAACCGAGTCAGGGGAAGGGAACTGTTTCTATGAGACCTGCCAACAAAGGAGGGACCTCCGGCGATGCCAGAGCCCAGCTCTTGCTGTGCAGCAGAGAGAGGAAGCTTAGCTTCTTGCCCAGACACCTGTGCCTTTCTTTCTCAGCAGGACACAGACAGAATCTTCTGGACACCAAAGGCAGCAACACACAACAGGATGTCCACAGCAAGCCATGGAGGCAGCAGAGATGTCTCCACATACCACCCTGGCCCTGAACAGCAGAGACTCACGTTTTTCTGTGGACGGCATAGCATGGAAGAGCGTCAGGGGCCTCTCACTGCAGGATGGAGGCTTGGAGTCACTGCTTTTCTTCCGGGACAGGTGTAGCTGGGCATTGGTGAGGGGCACATCAGGCACGGTGTTGAATATCTGCACATCAGGGTGACAAAAAGGTTACACATGAACTAGGAAGAAATCACAGGCCTGAACCATTTGGACTAGGAGCTTGGTGGTGAGTTTCAATAAGCAAGAAAAGATGAGACAGGCCTCCAATGAGACACTTCTAGGAACTGGTATTGAGCACTTTCTCCAGGAACTGATTCGAGAGTTCACTTCCCTTTTTTAATCCCTTTTACCAGAGGTTTTATGGATCTCCTCTGATCTATGCAAGGGGAACAGAAAACAACAGAGATAATTTAAAGCACTGTTCGATAACAGTGAAGGATTTTTACTGCCTTTGTCCAGAACCAATTAATCCAAATGTCCTTCCTTTCTTCATCTGGTCTCTTCCCAAGTTATTTACACCTGCTTCACAATTTTATCCCAGACCATAAAACATATTTATATAATGTTCCCAAACTGACAGCAAGCAGGGAACATTCATTCTCTTTACTCATCAACCACCCTCAGTGGGATCAGCCTTTTTTCAGCAGCTCTTCAAAGGTGAGCTTTACTTTATTTCAAAGGGTGGAGGTGGGTGACCCTGATTACACACACACACACACACACACACTCACTCTTCTCTCTCTCTCTCTCTCTCTCTCTCTCTCTCTCTCTCTCTCTCTCTTTCTCTCTCTCACACACCCCTACATACCAATTTAGAAAATGTAGAAAAGTCTAAAAAACCTAACAGTTCTATTATTTACAGATTATAACTTTTGAGAGTTAGGTTCTGTGTCTTTAAAAGGTTTTTAAAAATCATTTTGTTATTATTTAAGAACATGTAGTAGTTACTTTTCTAACTGTTGTGACAAATACCAGGCTTAAGGGAATTTGGCTTGTGATATAAAGGTACAGTCTATTGTAGTGTGGATGTGACTTAAGCCCCTATCATAGTGTGGATATGAGGTAAGGGTCTATTATAGTGTAGATGTAAAGGACAGGTCTTTTGTGGATGTGTAGTAAGGATGCAGTCTGAAGGTGAAGATGTAATTATATCACTAGACCCAAGATAAATGATAAATGGGTGTTTATTGGGGAATAATTACAAAGAAAAATACAAAGAACCACTGGAGCATTTCCTGCTCTTCCTACCAGATCCTCTGACCCACCAGAAAGAGTTCCCAAAGGAAAGTCACGCCTCAAGATCCTCTTGTCACTATTTCAGGTCCACTTACCAGATGCCTACAGCAGTCTATAATAGTTTGGAAGTCATGTTGGTGGGAGTGGCTCACAGCTGTGGCAGCAGGAACATGCAGGCTGCTTGCTCACATCTCAATGGATCAGAAATCCAAGATAGAGACTAGAGGAAATGGGCTTGGCTACTAATCCCAAAGTCAGCCCCCAGTGATGGCTTCTCCAAGATATGCCCTACCTTACAAAAGTTCCATGGACTCCTCAAACAAGAGTTTCAAATGCAAACCCCTGGGGGAACATCGCACACTCAAATCACAACAAGGTAAAAGAGTGAGACAAAAATCTTCCCAACTCTTCTTGCCTTCCTATGGAATTTCCTTATCACTATAGCCAGCAATTAGGTGGTGCGTACCATGTAAGGAGCTGTCACTCACTGTAGCTCCTGGGGTGCTAGTTGCAGCATACCTGTGCTTTACAAGTCTACTCAGTGCTCAGCAAGTCTGAACAACTGCAAATGTCCCAGCATGTCATAAAGAACCAAAGCATGCAGAGATGAAGCGGTCTCATTTATAGACATGATTACAGAAGATAACACGGGGTCCTTTTTTTTTTCTAGATTCCTCTGTAAATGCATATGATAATAACACCCATTCAAACAATCAGCCCATTCTTTTGAACATCCACTTTACAGAGGCACCCAGTGAATGAAACAAATGTGTTCCCCGTGGGTAGAGGATTTACATTTCCAGTAGCTGTGATTTACTAAGTATTTGCCACACCAAGCATGGAGCTGAGTGCTTTGTATAAGTCTCATTTAATGCTAAACACACTTTTCCACAGCTGAGAGTATATTCTTCACATAGTTTTACATCCTACTTATCTCATATAACATTATATAGCAGCATTCTCCATTCAATAAAAAAAATCTTCAAAGATGATTCATAAGGATTTCATAACCTCCTCCACTTTACTGAGAGATGAAAATTGACTGACTCTTTTGTTATACTCCCATACATTGTGACATTAACCTCCTGGGTATCCTCTTTCCAAGTGTCCTGAGTCACAGGAGGACAGCTCTAGCCACCTCCATCCCCTCACTTATGGCTCAGGCCATGCCACAATTGTATTTCTTATGGACCTCTTCTTTGTGTGTGTATTTTAAAGTGATATCCAATAGCTGATATGCAGAAAGCTAAGTTGCAAGAATTATGAGAGTTTCAGCTGAAACAGCTGCTCTTCCTGGGTTGGCAGGTCCCTGGCCCTGATGATGCCAGCTAGCCGGTTGAGTCAGTCTCACTCCCAAACACAGCTGTCGGAAGGAAGGTAGCATTATTCTATTTTCCCTGGTAGACTCAAACTTGAAACAGGATAAACAGTGGCTGTGTAGAGTTGAGAGCAACTGCAGTGAGAGGTGCGAATTGGAGACTTAAAGCAAAAGGAGAAGACATCATCTCCAGAGTAGCCAGGAAACCTAAAAATAGGCTGATGAACGTTATTCACTTCTGCAAGCTCTTGGAGTCTTTGTAGTGTAAGAAAACGGAAAGAGTGTGCTTATTGTTGAACCCAAGGGCTGCTTTCTTCCCTTGACTTTGTTGCCCCAACCATGCTGAGCTTGGCCACCCTGAGATGACATCTCAATGAGCTCTATCATTGACAGTTTAAAAGGCTCCTAGATATGTGTGCTTATGCCTGCTGAGCACTCAGATGGGCATCTCAAGTGACTCCTCCCCAAGCTGCAGGTTAGCTCAGCACATGGCATGACCATTTCACAAGAGCACCTCCCACCCTGCTCCCACCCCCATGAGGTCACAGGGACCAGAAATGAAGCCCTAGAGTTGCAGTAGCTATTTGATCAATTCACCCTCTCCAGCCAAACTTCATATAGAAACCACCATCTCAGTCCCGTGAGAATGGATTTTAAACAAGTACTGGTGCCTCTTAGCAACCTTCTGCCTGTGTCCCAGAATTCAGTACCTTCAGCAATCCCTTGATGAGAACATCTAGAAATGAATCCAAAGTTAAGGACAGGCCAGGTCCTGGTGGCCTCTGGCCTCCAGATGTTATCTTTCTTCCTAGTGAAGAATGATCCACCACTGTCTACTATAGTGCAAGGGGAACAGTCAGCAGATGTGCATTTTAACTTTGGTTGTCAACAACATTGAGACTATCTTTCTATGAACTGTAGCAGACATCAATTTAGACATGGACAGATGTATGAAAAATGGCCCTGCAAAAAACAGTAGGAAGTGACGTGGACCACATGAAGGAGAATCACTCCCTGCTCATCCACTATTTCCTCTAAAAGCTAAGTAAATGGAATCCATTTTCTAAGGGAATTTTACCATGGGTAGGCATGACAGCCCCAACAGCCAGTTCTCCAGGCCTGCCTATGTGCCAGGCACAGGCTTTTGAAGAACTCTGCCAGGTTGTTCTTGGGATCCAATGCAATAGAATGTGCCCAGAGTGCACTGCAAAAGTGCCAGGCACAGGACCCACACGCGGTGGTCACAAGTATTTTCCTAAATGTCAGGGCACCTTTGTAAGTGAAACCTCCTAGACTAAAACATTCGATGGGAAGTAGGGTTGGATGGTGGTAAAGGACTAATCTGTATACTCACGAGGTTAGGGCAGGAGGATTGTTCCAAGTCCAAATCAATGCTGGGCTACATAGTGAGTTCAAGGCCTAGGACACATAACAAGAATGTGGGAATTATTATCCACATGGCTGTTGCTCATTTAACTTGGAAATTTCCACACATGCCAGCTGATTTTCCAGCTACCTTCTGACTGTGCCAAGCTTTGTCTGTGCTAAAAGTTTAAGTTGGAATTCTGATGTGCCTGAGTTACACAGCTCTCTTCGCTACTCCAGTTCTATTGAACAAATGAAGTTTTCTTTGAGCTGTCAGGAAGATTGTCACACAAAGGACTCCGTAATATACAAGCATTAACTCATATAATCTATAAGCTCACCATGTGGTGGGAACAATGTACTCATTTCTCAGAGACTTTCCAAATTAACACAAAGAGTGAAGCTTTATTCTGTGCCCAAGTGTCTTGTTTAGACTTTCTGACTTACAAACTAATTCCTACTTAATCAGGAATGCCTTAAACATAAAAGCTAGGAAGACTGTGACCCTGCTGGGAGTCACTGGAGAATAAAGTTATAAAATAAAAATACAACTTCGAGGAACCTTTCCAAGTATCCCCAATTTCAAGTGCCCTGTGAATGGAATTAACACACCCATAAACACCAGGCTACTTTTTCTCCTCAAGCCAGGCAGGAAAGTGTCAGCGTTGGCCTCTGTATTCAGCTTGGGTAAACACTAGGTCTTGATGTCCACCACCACCAGACTTTACCATCCATGCTAGCTACCTTACTGCCATATCACCATATCAAATATAAGAAGGTAATTTAAAGTACTGAGATGGGTAAAAAGCAAACAAGACCTGAATGAAGCCAGTCAGACCTGAGGTCAATTCCTGGCTTTGTCATCAAGGTCTTTAACCCTTGTGAGCCTGTTTCCCTTATAAAGATGATCACATTACACCTAAAATAAAGGACATAAAGTGTGCAGCACTGCACTGGTAAAGCACAGGCAGGAAATGTGGTAGTATAAATGACAAGAAAATAACTAAAATTCACTGAGTGTTCATCATGCTGTTATAGTTATATGAATTAAAGACATGGATTATTTCCGTCACAATAACTCTATGAGGGGAATGCAGTTATTGCCATCTTGTAGATGAGCAAATTGAGAATCACTAAAATTAACTGATTATCAGGACCTAGATAGCCTGACTGAGGAGGTTTAGCTAACTGTGTCTTGTGTGTTATTGAGAAGCAAATGTCAAAA